GACAACCCAAAGATTCTGCTAAGTACCTGGGTAGTATCGTTAGAGGTGATGGAGCTTTCTCTTCTGAACTGGAAAATAGGCTTAGGGCCACTGATGTTGGTTATCACAGTATGGGGAGATTCTGGTACCAGGCACGAGTCCCTTATGTTGAACGACGTGCTGTCTTCCTATGTCGTGTCCTAGGGTCTGCGTTATCAGGCGTCGAGGCTTTCCTCCCAACGCCTGCTCAACTACAGCGATTGCAGAGCAGAGTAAATATGTATGCTAGACGTGCTATGCGAGGGCTGGCCACTAAGGAGCAGAACGGGCATAAGGTTTCGATCAGTAATGAAGAGGTTTGTAGGTACTGGAAGATGGCACCACTTGAGATCGAACTGCGCGCACGGCGTATCAAGTGGTATCAGCGCTGGGTTCAACAACCTGATCGTCACCTGGCAGAATGGGCAGCTTTGTTTGGCACCATGCAAATCGAGTCGCAGAGAGGAGTGCAGATCGTTGGACAGGACGAGCGTCTTACAGAAGATGCTTGCCCCTGGGCTCGTAGAGTAATATCAGATATTAACTCCCTGGCTGACTTAGGAGATGACGAATATGAACATGTACAAGAATTTGATAGCAGTCCATTGAGAATATTCCAGGACGAGAGCTTAGTCGAATGGTTCACCCAGTTTGACCCAAAGAAGTTGCGAGCTAAGTGGTTAAGTGTAGCTATCCCCCCTCCTGGATATGCTCATCCTCAGCCTCAGGAATCACGACCCGACCCGCCACAAGCAGCAGGAGATATGTTACCATGTTCAGTACCAGGATGTACTCGTTCTTTCCATACCTCCAGGCAGTTATTGGTTCACCTCAGCAGGGGGCATGAGTTCAGATCTATCCTTGGTCTGGCAGTTACTTCTAATGTATGTTTTGTCTGCGAGAGCGTTTTCGAGAGCCGTAACTCGGTCTATAAGCACCTCATCGACTCCTTCGAAACGGGTATATGCGTCACACAAAGAAGTACGACCTTCAAACATCCAGGCCAGGACAACACTGATGAGTGCCCATTGTGTAAGGCTCAAATACTTGCTGGGGCTCCGCTGCGAGCCCACATCCGTACGCATTTTCTCCACCTCCCAGCACTCGACGATGCCAGGAGAGGGCGCGGCAGCAGCGGCGAGGCCCAACGAGCAAGAGGCAGTAGGAGGCTCGGAGATGGCGGCAGCGCCAGACTGGATGATCATCGGCACGGCCAACAAGCGCAAGGAGCTGGACGACACCTCGGACGCCCAGGAGAACAAGAAGGGGCGGCTGGCCGAGCAGGTCAAGCGCGACGGGCTCAAGATGGGCAACTTCAAGGCGCTGCTCGCCATCCTCACGAAGCTCAGCATCACGAACTCCAGGGAGCTCGCCGACCTCACAGGCGCCTGCTTCACGTGCTTTCTGCTCCCCGCGGGCGCCCCGCTGATCGGCATCGTGCAGCAGGCGGGCAAGGCCTACGCCCAGGACTGCAAGAAGAAGGGCAAGCAGCACGGCAACGGCCCCCCGTGGCCGCACGTCTTCCTGGCTCTCCTGAAGCACTTCTGCCAGATGACGAATTTGGACGAGCCGTCGATCAAGGCGTTCAAGACCTACTGGGGGGTGATCACGAGCCTCAGCAAGGAGGAGGGCCTGATCCAGCTGCAGGAGCAGATCAGGTTCCTGCGCATCGAGGGCTGCTGGTACGACCGCAAGAAGGACGACAAGCCGACCAGGTTCAAGCTGCAGTTCATGATGAGCCCCAACTCCCAGGTCAATGGAGTGAGGAACACCTCCGACCAGACCAACACGATCCCGCTCCACCAGGCCTTCTGCATGGCAATCCTCAAGCAGGGCGGGGAGTACAAGGCGGGCGGACCCCCCAAGGGGGCGCTGGAGAGAGAGGCGGAGAGGCTGCTCAAGCGCATGGGGATCGAGAGCGACAGGCAGACCATCGAGGTAGACAGCGACCAGGACGGGGAGGGGTTCTGAGGCCGTTGCGTCTTGAAGCAGTGAACGGATCTGAGCGTATGGCAGAGATGTATAGGGAAGGCCGCCTCACGGGCATACAATTACAGGCCCTGCAGGCCCGCGTCCACCACCCCATCCTCAGGTATTTTAACGGCAGTCGCAGTGTCTTGTTGCATCAGGTTGGCAGTGCAGATCCCCCCGCCATCATGTCATTTGAAGAGTTCCAGCAGCGTAGTGAGCAGGTGCGCAGAATAGAAGTCAATGTAGAGACAGTGCCGAATCAGAGCAATCGTGCCGCTAGTAGATATCTCCACCCCAATCCCATGCCGCCAGCAGAGTGACTCTGGCATTGGGGTCGCCTGTAGACACAGAGCAACGGGAATCAAAATCTGGCGGGGCATTTCTTTACCAGTCCGCTGCGGGCCGCGGCAGTGCGGGCCGCAGCAGTGCGGGCCGCCCAGGCTCTAGAAGTCAATGTAGAGACAGTGCCGAATCAGAGCAATCGTGCCGCTAGTAGATATCTCCACCCCAATCCCATGCCGCCAGCAGAGTGACTCTGGCATTGGGGTCGCCTGTAGACACAGAGCAACGGGAATCAAAATCTGGCGGGGCATTTCTTTACCAGTCCGCTGCGGGCCGCGGCAGTGCGGGCCGCGGCAGTGCGGGCCGCCCAGGCTCGGGGTTTTCCATATTGCAAGAGAGAAGTGAGAAGCGTTGCGACCTTGCTCACTTGTCCTCCCTCCTTCCCCTGCTCTGTCCGCCCGTGCTTGTTCCTTTCACGAAGGATGGTGCCGCGTGCGGGCCGCTGGGCGTTCCCCTTACAGCGGTCCCGCTTCGGCCAGAGAGGGCCATCCTTCCAGCGTCGGCCGCTGGTAGGCGATAGTTCGCATCCAAGAGCCTGCAGAGGTCACCAGGACTGCTGAGTGACAGAGGCTCGCAATGGTTGATTGATTGATTGATCCTCCTCCTCCTCCTCCTCCTCCTCCTCCTCCTCCTCCTCCTCCTCCTCCTCCTCCTCCTCCTCCTCCTCCTCCCTCCTCCTCCTCCTCCTCCTCCTCCCCTCCTCCTCCTCCTCCTCCTCCTCCTCCTCCTCCCCCCCTCCTCCTCCCTCCTCCGCCTCCTCTCCTCCTCCTCCTCCTCCTCCTCCTCCTCCTCCTCTCCTCCTCCTCCTCCTCCTCCCTCCTCCTCCTCCTCCTCCCCTCCTCCTCTCCTCCTCCCCCCTGACACTGTTGTGTTCCCCCTCCTCCCCCGCAACTCGGGGGAGGTTTTGTATTGCCGAGGGGTGTTTCGGCGGCCCAGGGTCCGATCTTTGTGGGCGGCGTGCAGGCACACACCTCGCACTGTCTTCAGTCATGACCAGAGTTTTCGCTGCTTTTCTGTTCCGTCTGCGGCAAAACGGCCTCGACGGATTGCAGGCACTTGAGCCAGCCGTTCCTGCCATCGCGTAAGGGGAAGGAGAACCTTGCGCGAATTTCCCGAGGCCTCCGCCCCCGCCCCCAAGGTGCTCCGAAGGCTGCTCTGGCGGCCCAGAAGGTCCTCACAGGTAGGACCTCGGGGCCCTCGTCTGGGGTTGCAGGGTGAGGGGCCGTAGGCGTAGGGAGGGGCACTGCGCCCCCAGGCTCCAACTCCTCCTCCTCCTCCTCCTCGTCCTCCTCCCCTTCCTCCTCCTCCTCCTCCTCCTCCTCT